AACGCAGTAGTCATCCTTACCTTTCACAGAGGCACTGAGTTTTATAAATATGAGCATGATAGTGTAGAATAATCATATCCAAGGACCAGTGGTGGCTTTCAAAAAAGTATGGAACCTCTTCTGTAGGTGTGGCCTGCTTTCCGGGTCCACTGGTGGAACCTCTTCTAACCGGTTCGGTAGATTTGACGAACCGGTTGCACCGAATAGGTGCGAACTGATAGGAACCCACCTCTGATTCATTTATTTCCCTCCCTCATACCACCATCGGATGTTTCATTAAAACATCAAACCTGACCTCTTCCCACTCTTACTCAAAAGTGTCTTCATGAAATAGGACCGCATCTGTTCTCTCCTTCCTTCCCCGTTCTCATCTTCAAGTAGCAAGTCTTCCAACTCACCTGAACACTGAACACATTGTATCCCTGACACCATAATAATGCTTTCCCCCAAAGAGGTACATCTTATTGTCCTTGACCACTACGGCGTGCCGGAATCGCGGTTTCTCTGGGAGGTAACCAAGACGACGCCACTCCACTTGTTTGACCAAGCCGATGCCGTTAAGAAAGCGGTGGGTGAACCAGAAATCCTGGCAAGGGCTGCGAGTAGCCATATTTTTGGTCAAAGTATCTCCTCCGCTAATCACAATGACCTTCTCTGGATATCTCACCCGGCAAGGAAGTTGCTCCATCTTGGAAGGACCTGGTGGGATGCTAGCTAAGGATTGAACCATGAGGTTGTAGAGGCGACCAGGGTCGGCCATCATCTCTTCTTTCCTCACCTGTTTGAGTTCTCGGTTGGACATCAGTGGAAATCTGATGCAGTGCAACACTTTCTCGGCACAGTTCATCCGCCCGGCCCAGTCAGAAGTCAACCAGCGGACGGCTCCTTGGAAAGCTTCCAGTTCATTGAGGATGTAGAGTGAATCAGAACTAAGGAAGTCCACCAGCTGATTTATGGGAAGATCTAGGAACTTTGCCGTTTTCGTGACACGAACAAAGCTGTTTAATATAAACTTCTCCGCAGTGTTTTCAATATCGGGTAGGCCGTAAGCTCGGGCAAAAGAGAGAACATCCAGACAGGTTTCTGGAGTGAGCTTGTAGCGGAACAGATCCAGACAGAGGTCCAAGATGCCAGAGACTTGATATTGAAGAGCAGCTTGCGCAGCTTCGAATATATAATCCCACCCACCTCTCAACACTCCTGAGTAAGCGAAGGAGATGATCAGCCCCAGGTCAGCTGCGGTGAACTGGGTGCAAAGGGGAACCTTGGCCTGTTGAGCTTCCTTCATGCCGCTGGTAAACATACCATGGAAGAACTCACAGCCACAAGCCAAGGCCAAGCGGTGAACTGAAAGTAGAGAAGATGAGATCAGGAAATTGAGAGATTTGGCCACAGATCATAGTTCCCTAACTCTGAGGCAATTCCTACCCCAAAATCTAGAGTTCTCCCAGTTCTTCCCAACCCACTGATGCCATGCACTCTTAATTTTTTGCTTCCCTAGTATCAACTTCGCCGCAGAATAACAGAGTTGGAAGAGACCTTGAAGGTCTTATTCTCTGACCCCTGCTCAAGCAGGAAACCCTATAACCATGATGGCACGTGGAGGCCTCTCTGTCGGCACGCGAGCCATTGCCCCAGCTCAGCTCCACTGCACATGTCCCTCCCGCCGTCCAGGTCTTTGCTGTGCATGCAGGAGAAGCGTGCACACCCACCCATGGGAGTGGGGGGTTCACATGCACATGTGTAGAAGGCAGGGGAGAGTGCGAGGGAAGCGGCACCCCCACACACACCATTTTTAGTCCCAAGAGGCTTTAGGGAGGCCCGCTAGGCCAAAAGGGGGGGGCGGGGGTTTTGCACACTTCCAACACCCTATTTTTGGTCCCAGGAGGCTCCAAGGAGGCCTGCTAGGCCCAAAAGGGGGCACCGGGAGGGGGGGTTGTGCATGCATGCACAGAGGTGGGTGGGGATGCAAGGGGGCTATCGCGCATGCACGCACACTTTCGGCATGCAAGGACAAGAATGTTAGCCATCATTGCCCTATAACATTTCAGACAAATTGTTATCCAATCTCTTCTTTAAAACCTCCAATGTTGGAGTCCCCACAACTTCTGGAGGCAAGTCGTTCCACTGATCAATTGTTCTAACTGTCAGGAAATTTCTCCTTAATTCTAGTTGTTTCTCTCCTTAATTAGTTGCTTCTTTTTCTGCTTTCAGGTGCTTTAGAACAGTGGTCTCCAACCTTGGCAACTTTAAGACCTGTGGACTTCAATTCCCAGAGTTCCTCAGCCAGCAGCTGAGGGGCACGGAACCTTCCCACCAAAGGTGGCTGCTGGCTGAGGAACTCTGGGAGTTGAAGTCCACAAGTCTTAAAGTTGCCAAGGTTGGAGACCACTGCTTTAGAAGATAGGTTGATTTCTCCTCCTTCTTTATGGCAGCCCCTTAGATTTTGGAACACTACTATCATATCACCCTAGTCTCCTTTTTTCCCATTAAACTAGACATGCCCCATACCTCGAAATGTATCTCCTTCAGCTTTAAGTTCCGTGTCCCAACCAATCCCTTCACTGTACATCTCTTCTAGTCTCCGTAGCGTCTTCCATTTCTCTTCCCCTGGACTCAGTCTCTCCTCATTCTCTGTCCCTAGTAACACGGCCTTGCATATTTCAGCCACACGAGGGACACCCAGGGCCTCAGCTGCGTCTAGGATTTCTCCAGCTGTGACTGGGGTGGGCTCTAGCTCTCCCGTGTAGGCAAAATTCAAAACGGCCTCCCAGCCAGATGGCGTGGCCACACCATCCAGATTCATCCCTTCCTGCATACCACGTTCCAAACGCTGCAGAAAGACAGAGCTGACTGCAGCCAGAAGGATGCTGTGGGCTTTGTAGTCCCTTTGACGTAAAGTCACAGTCGTATCCACCAGGAGGTCCTGTCCCCTCAGGTGGAGAGCTGCAGTGAAAAATCCTTCTGCGTGGCCCTCGCTCCACAGTTCCAGCTGTTGTTCTGTTGGCGTTTCCATCACCTCTGGGGCTCTGTCCACGCAGGTCATCCTTTATTGAAAAGAAGATAGTTGTGAGAGGGGTGGGAAAATCTGTGATAAATTTTTTATTTTATTTTAAACACATAAGCACATCAACAAAAACAAACACATAACTTAAAAACAACATAG